TGGTTCCGTGCTCCCAGGACACTGGTGCATAGCTCCCTAACAGATCACATCACAGTGGTTTTGGAGGGAGCTGTGGGAGGAGCCAGGAGAGTGCAGTGCTGCACGGCACGGGCACCTGAGCCAGCCTGCTCCATCACTTCCTAGTCCTGTGATGTTGGCGAAGTATACAACCTCTCCGTGCTTCAGCTTCTTCCCCTGTGAAATGGGAATCATAATAGTACCCCTACCTTAAAGGGTCGTTGTGAGGATTAAAGGAATTAAGACATGTAAAGCACTGAAAATAGTGCCTGCTAGAAGATATGAACAGACATTTCTCCAAAGAAGATATACAGATGGCCAACAGGCACATGAAAAGATGTTCAACATCACTGATTATCAGGGAAATGCAAGTCAAAACTACACTAAGATATCACCTTACACCCGTTGCAATGGCTATAATCACCAAGACAAAAAATAGCAAATGTTGGAGAGGTTGTGGAGAAAAGGGAACCCTGATACACTGCTGGTGGGAATGCAAACTGGTGCAGCCACTATGGAAAACGGTATGGAGATTCCGCAAAAAACTAAAAGTAGAAATACCATATGACCCAGCTATCTCACTACTGGGTATTTATCCAAAGAACTTGAAATCAACAATTCAAAGAGACTTATGCACCCTTATGTTTGTTTCAGCATTATTCACAATAGCCAAATCATGGAAGCAACTCAAGTGCCCATTGACTGATGATTGGATAAAGAAGATGTGGTATATATACAATGGAATACTACTCAGCCATTAAAAAACACAAAATCATCCCATTCACAACAACGTGGATGGACCTTGAGGATATTATGTTAAGCGAAATAAGGTGGACAGAGAAAGACAAACACCATATGATTTCACTCAGATGTGGAAGATAAACACAAGGACAAAGAGAACAGTTCAGTGGTTACCAGGGGGAAGGGGACTGGGGGAGGGCACAGGGGGTGAAGGGGGGCACTTACATGATGATGGACAAGAAATAACGTACAACTGAAATCTCGCAATGTAGTAAACTATTATGACCCCAATAAAAAAAAAAATTATGCCTGCTACATGGTAAGTGCCCAACAGATGTTACCTATGTAAGCAGACGTCCCACGAGGGACCCCAGAAAAGAAAACCTGCAGCTCTTTGAGCCCTGAATTCAAAATCAAAGGATGAGGCTTGTTTCAATGTATGTTTAAAACACACACACACACCCCCATCCCTTCCTCCCAGGCTTCCTCTCTCCCTCTCTCTTTTTCTCTCTCTTAGACCCAATTAGAAGAAGACAAACAATCCAATTGAAAAATGGGCAGAAGATTTGAACAGATGCTTCACAGAAGAAGATATATGAAAGGGCATTAAACATGTGAAAAGATGTTTAACATCACTAGTGATCAGAAAAACGCAAATTAAAACCATAATGAGGTAAACCACAATGGCTAACATGAAACTGACAATACCAAGTGGTGGCAAGGATGTGAAGCATGTGGAACTCTCATAAGTTGATGGTGGCAATGCAAAAACAGTACAGCCACTTCATGTAACAGGATGGCGGTATCTTACAATGTTAAACATACATCTATCATATGACACAGCAATTTCGTGCCAATGTATTTACCCAAGAGAAGCGAATGCCTAGTCTACACAAAGACGTGGACATGTCAGAACAGCCTTATTCTTAATAGCCCCCAACTGGAAAGAACCCAAATGTCATGGCATAATCGTACAATGGAACACTGGTCGACAGTCAAAAGGAATGAAATATTAATATATGCAGCAACATGGATGAATCTCAAAAACTTTATGCTAAATGAAAAAGACTATATGCTATCTGATTCCATTTACGGGAAATTCTATAAAAGGCAAAGCTGAAGTGACGGCAGATCACTGGTTTTCTGTGGCTGTTGTCAAGGAGAGATCAACAACGGAAATGCGGGAGAAAACCTTTTAGGATCAGGAAACTGTTTTATATTTGGGTTTTGGTGGTGGTTACACAATTCCCAAAATTCATCAAATTATACTCTTAAAATAGGTGAATTTTATTGAATATAAATAATGCCCTAAAAGAAAAAGCAAACCCAAAGACTGATTAAGTGTCTTTCAGCTTGTCCTCCTGTCTTGCGTGGGATGGTCTCAGGCCTGCCGAGCAGACCTCCTTATTGGAAATAAGGTCATTCGAGGCTCATTTTCTTTCCCTTGCCTCAGAGCTGTGGATCGAGCTGACATTGACCGATTTCCACTGGGCCCCATAGTGTGTCCCAGGTGGAGGCTGACGGAAACAAACTTGTGTTTCTGCCACTAATGATACAAGCCTTCATCGTATCCTCTGCCAGGCCCTGTTCGTTGTCATTACACCCATTGAAGAAGAGAACAGTGATAACGAGCTGGGTGTTATCCGCTCACAAATAATTTATAATGGGCAAACTAGGACAGGAACAGAGCTTTTTTTGGCTAAGGAGGTTGCATGTCACTCTTTAAAATCTAGGCCAAAAAATTATTTATAATGCATAGACAGTCACTCAGAAAGTTAAAAGGTTCCTTTCTTCTCTCCCGTGTGTTTGAACACTGTGCTTTTTGCCCCGGACTAGCAAAAAGGCCCCTGAGCATCTCACTGCTACACCTGCAGTCAGCCTGTGCTTGTGAGAGAGCACATGGGAAGACAGTTACTCGGCGAGGCGTGAGGCCTTTGTAGAAACCCCTTAAAGAATTTCAGCTCCTCCCCCAAATCCAAGAAGGATAGAGACAAGGGAAAAGTCAGGACCTTTAGGTAAGGGTAGTGACCATGCACTTCAGGCGAGCGTTGAAGAACCACCTCAGATGTTATCAGGACACAGCCTGAACTAAGACAGAGTCTGCAAAAGGTGGCTTGTAAACGGGGGTGTTGAAGTAAAAGACAGGTTGTGTGTAATGAGGCAGAGGCAGACGGACTGGTTATGGCCATCATGGCATCTAGGAAAGGGAGACTGGGAATGTGGCCCTGTACTTCCAAGGGCCCTTTGGGGAAGCAGAATCTTTGTTGATACCAATACCTACCCCAAGGGAGGTGAGTCCCTCTGATGGGAACCCACCGAGTTGTCGCAAGCCACCGGCACCCTGCCTGGCGGCGCATTGCCCAGTGGCCTCCTGATGAGTGACAGCTCTCCAGGAAGTGTGTTCCCAGGCGCCGGGATGCCTGGACCAGTAGGCAGACCACGTTTGATAAGGCCTGCAGCTGTGGGCCCTGCTTTCTATCAGTGAGCTGACTTCCTAGAACAAGTCCATCCTGGGTGAATTTGGGAGAGATGGGTCAGCCTTCCCAGCCCTGGCTTGCCTTTGAATGAGCTGGCTGTTGATGAGCGGCTGGGTCTGTGGGGCTAAGAGCCAGTCCTGGGACTATGGTGTGTCCTTGAGGATCCAGGCCTCTGGAGCGGTGCAGCCTCCCAGGCTTCCTCAGGGTGAGAGTGGCTTCCTGCATCACGTGTTCCTTGTTTGGTGTCTACTGGAGCGGCCCCTGTAGCCGTGATTTCCTATTCAAGTTCCCAGGGTCCTAGGGTTCCTCAGAAGTACCTTGGTGGCTCAAGGGAGATCTCCTCCCCTCAAACCGAGCAGCTCCACTTTGATCTCTTTATAGGCATGCAGTGTAGTGTGGCATTTTTTTAATAGACTTTATTTATTTATTTATTTATTTATTTTGCTGAGGAAGATTAGCCCTGAGCTGACATCTCTTGCCAATCTTCCTCTTTTTTTGCTTGAGGAAGATTGGCCCTGAGCTAACATCTGTGCCAATCTTCCTCTGTTTTATATGTGAGTCCCTGCCACAGCATGACTGACAGGTGTAGGTCCACACCTGGGATCCCAACCCATGAACTGGGGCCACCAAAGCAGAGCACACTAAACTTAACCACTAGGCCGTGGGGCCAGCTCCGTAAACTTAATTTTTTTAGAGGAGTTTTAGGTTCACAGTAAATTGGATGGAAGGTACAGAGATTTCCCATATATTCCCATCCCTACATATACACAATCTCCCCCATTATTAACATCCCCCACCAGAGTGGTACATTTGCTACAACTGATGAACCTACGTTGACTCATCATAATCCCCCAGAGTCCATAGTTTACATTAGGCTTCACTCCTGGTGGGGTGCGTTCCACAGGTTTGGACACGTGTGTGATGACACGCATCCATCCTTACAGGCTCGTACGGAGAAGTCTCACTGCCCTGAAAGCCCTCTGCGCTCCAACTGTTCACCCTCCCCCACAACCCCTGGCAACCGCTGACCTTTTTAGTGTCACCATAGTTTTGCCTTTTCCAGGATGTCACGTAGTTGGAATCCTACAGTATGTATCCTTTCAGATTGGCTTCATTCCCTTAGTAATATGCATTTAAGTTCTTCCATGTCATTTTTAAAAGGGTTCCCCTGCTCTTAGCATCTTGACAGCTGTGTGCAGTCCCTGTCATGCGATGGCCAGGGGTCCGGCGTGGCTTACAGACAGTTTTTTGTGAGATGTGCCTTGTCTCCCCAGTAGGAAGATGAGCTCTAGGATAGTGGCCAGGACATAAGCCCTGGGTGGCACTGGCTGTCTGCTGGACATTGGGGACACCTGGCTACCCTTCATAACTTGGTGCCACTAGCCAAGTGCATGGAGGTGGAGTGGATGTGGTGTGAGCCTAAGGAAGGGCTGTCAGGTCGAGCTCCTCTGGGCTGCAGCCGTCTTGTCGTTTGCTCCCGAAGTCAGAGTGAGCAGCATCTGGCGACGGAGCTAATCTGTGTAAGCTTTTGCATCTGAGTCAGAACTTACTTATTAATACTGTCTCTCTTTGCGGCCAAGAGTCTAGCAAAACATTTTTCTGTCCCCATTACTCAGCTCTGAAATGTGGTGAATGTTACTTTCCCTGAAAGAGTTTTGATAAGTGATCACGACAGAATACACTCTGATAGAAGGTACCTCCATTTCATAATAAAGCCTTTATGAAGTGGAATGTTCCAGTCACCTGTGCATTTTGTGTTTACAGAGCTTCTCGAAACAAGTCTGAGAAGAAGCGTCGGGACCAGTTCAATGTTCTCATCAAAGAGCTTAGCTCCATGCTCCCTGGCAACACGCGGAAAATGGACAAAACCACCGTGCTGGAAAAGGTCATTGGATTTTTGCAGAAACACAATGGTAAAGGTTATACTTCTCTCTGTTTTTATGCTGCTCCTGCCCTTTCCATTTGGTGATGACTTCATCAAGCTGGTCTTCCTGCTTGGTTCTCTCTCCCCAGCAGAGCCCAACCTCATCAGTCACAGGCTTCCTCTTTCAAAGGCACTCCGCCCTCTGGAATAGCTCCATCCCCAGCAGGTGTGGGAGAGGACGCTCACCTCCCAAATGGCTTTATTAGCCAGAGGAGAGAACCCAGAGTGGCCTCCCAGGGTAGCACCCAGCCCAAGCAGAGTGATGCTAACAGTGGGAGCGTCCTGATTAGAAATGTCTAAAGCAAGCATTTTTCATTCAGTCCTAAAGAAATGGAATGCCCAAGTATTCATTTGCCCCTGGGTCAGACTGTACTGGTTTCTCCAGACATCTCTGCCACCGCCCCTAAATTCTTTGGCCTTCTGAACTACACCATGAAAAAAATAAATTGAAATTCATTAACTTACTTAATGTCAGATCCATTTTTTATTGAGATATAACTCACGTACCATAAAATTCACAATTTTAAAGCTTATAGTTCAGTAGTTTTTAGTATATTCACAAAGTTGTGCAACCATCTAATTTTATCATCCCGAAAGAAAGCCTGGGCCCATTCACAGTCACTTCCCATTTCCCCTTCCCTCCAAATCCTGGCAACCACTGAGCTACTTTCTGTCTCTGTGGATTTGCCTGTTCTGGGCGTTTCATACAAATGGATTCATACAATATGTGGTCTTTTGTTTCTGTCTTCTTTCACTTAGCATCCATATTTTAGCAAGTATCTGTACTTCATTCCATTTTATGGCCAAATAATAGTCTATCGTATGGATATACCACACTTCATTTATCTCTTGATCAGTTGACAGATGTGGGGTTGTTTCCACATTTTGCCTGTTATAAATAATACTGCTGTGAACATTCCTGTACAAGTTTTTGATTAGATCTATGTTTTCAGTTCTTTTGCATGCATACCTAGGAGTAGAATTGCTGGATCAAATGGTAGCTCAGTGTTTAACTGTTTCAGGAACTGCCAAACTGTTTTCCGCAGTGGCTGCACCATTTTACATTCCAGGAGCAATGTATGAGGGTTCCAATTTCTCCACATCCTCACCAATGCTTGTTATTGTCTGGTTGAGTATGTGTATTTACTATAGCCTTCCTAGGGAGTGTGAAGTGGTGGCTCATCGTGGTTTTGATTTGCATGTCCCTAATGACTAATGATATTGACCTTTACTGATCACTTCATGTGCTTATTGACCATTTGCATATCTTCTTTAGAGAAATGTCTATGCAAATCCTTTGCTCATTTTTAAATTGGGTGGTTTATCTTTTTGTTGTTGCGTTGTAAGAGTTCTTCATATATTCTAGATACTAGACCCTTATCAGATATGTAATTTGCAAATATTTTCCCCCATTCTGTGGGTTGTCTTGCCACTTTCTTAATGATGTCCTTTGACACACAAAAGTTTCAAATTTGATGAGGTCCAGTTTCTCTGTTGTTGTGGGTTGCTTGTGCTTTAGGTATTGTATCCCTATCTGAGAAACCATTGTCTAATCTAAGGTCATGAAGATTTACATCTGTGTTTTCTTCTAAGAGTTGTATAGTTTTAAGCTATAAATTAAGCATTTAGATATAAGCTATACATTGAGCATTTAGATATTCAATCCATTTTGAGTTAATTTTTGTGTATGGAGTGAGGTAAGAAGTCACAGTTCGTCCTTTTGCACATGGATATCCAGTTATACCAGCACTCTATTCTTTTTCTTTAACTTTTTAATGCTGTATGAAAGTATAACACACATACAAAAAATACGCGGATCATAACTATATGATTTAATTGGTTATGGCAAAATAAACAGCCAGGAAACCAACACCCAGATCAAGAAATAGAAACTTCCCCAGTAGACGCCCCTTCCTGTCTACCTCTACTTTCCCCAGAGGTAATCTCTTCTGGCTTTGATTTAACCTTACGGGACCTTGTTCAGACGGACGCATACATCATAGACATGGTGTCCGTGCGATTAGTCTGTGCTCTTCCAATGGTACGGCTACTTCGTTTTCATTGAAACGTAGTATTCCACTATATGACTTGATCCATCCTTGAACTTACGTCTTCTTCAAATCCTCCTCTCTCCATTTTACTCTCCTTCAAACTCTTTTACTTCTTAGCACTGACCACTCTGCCCTGCCACTCACCTAGGGATGGTACAAAAAATTGGAGAATAGTTAAGAGGGTTCAGGAGCTATTAACAAGCAAGAAGAGCGAATTCTTTATTCCTTAACCATGACACCCAACATAATAAAGTCAGAAATGTCAGATTATTGAGGAGATAATTACATAGTGATGCTTCTCTTTCACTGACATTTTTCTAGACAAGATGATTTCATGGAAGAAGGTAAGGCTAGGATATTAGATAGTTTCATTATACTTGTTATTCTTTTATTATTTCTTTAATAATTGTGTATACCTATTAAAAATGTGACAGTAATGATATATCCTCCTTTTTTTTCCCCAAAGCTGCCCAAGGCAGAGTACAGAATATGTTAATTGCTTTTGTTAAAAGTCAGGCAAGAACAATCAAGCAGGATTGGAATAAAGTGTTGCAGCAATATTCGACTGCCCGGATAATTTAATCGGAATGGTTACATTTCCTAAAAAATGAGTTAGGCAAGTGAAATAGCAGGTTGGTTGGATTACTAAGATGTTTTGTGCAAATGACTCAAACTAGGTCAGTGGCACTGAGAAGCAGGACAGCTGTTAAATAGGACGGCTGGGATCAAGTTCATAAGTGTGACATTTATGCTGGGCTCTGTCCACTGCGGAATTGCAGAGTTGTCAATTCTGGGACCTGGAAGGGATCAGTAGCAGAAACTCGGCCTCCTAACACCGGGAGTGCCTGTCTCTGTTTCGCCTTTTTCATAAGACTAAGGCCTACTCTGCACAGCCCACTTAAATGCAACCAGGACCACTCCAGAATCTCACTTATCCTTATTCCACATTCAAAAGATTCCATATCCAAAAGAAAACAGAAGTTCCATGGAAGATTTTGTGGAGAAATATAGTGGTTGGACCAAAATTAGGATTAAAGCAAAAAACAGAAACAAACTTTTCATTACCTATAACCCAAATGGACGTGAACTCCCTCCCCAAGCATCTGCAGTGGTCAGCATTTCTTCAGGGCCCACCATGAGCCAGGCAGGCACTATGCTAAGGGCACTACATATAGGAACTCATCTGAGCTTCACAGCAGTCCTTTGAGCGAGTACCATTTCACAGATGAGGCAACCAAGGCAGAGACGTTAGGCCACTCACCCTAGTCAGACAACGGGAAACATATTTGGTATTTTCATTGGTATATAGTATTCTGTTACATGAATACCAGGCAGTCTGTCTCCAGAGTCAAGTTTTTAACACTACACCCTACTGCTTCTCCACAAGAGGTGACTTATGGGGCTCTTGTGGATATTGATATCATTGCTGTGCTAAGGATGTTCATTAGTGTGGCATTTAGACTACTGGTTCTCACCCTTGGCTGCACTTTAGAATTGCCCAAGGAGCTTTTAAAAATACATATAACTGGGTGACACCTCACACATGAACACGTCAGAATTTCTAGGGGCAGAACTCCAGTGGTGAGCTGGAGCCGGCTCACGTCAGCTTGCAAAAGATGATTGTTAAATTTTCAGGAGTTTTGCGAGCCAGTTGGCATCAAGTTGACTGCTTGAAATCAGCCACCGTGGGAGTATTTGCACCACAGGAATGGGCAAACACAACAAATCAGGGCTTTCTGTTGTAGAGATGGGGAGCCTTTTTACCAGTACACCACTGGGTAAGGCCCAAGCATCCATATTTTTAGAGCTCCCCGGGTGATTCCAGTGTGCAGCCGAGGTTGAGAACTGTGGGTTCAGACATGCTTTCTGCCTTCATGCTAATGGGAGACCACATGGTAAGTAAGGAAAGAGGATTAGGTCCACGTAGTTGTTATAATCATTTAGCTCTTTCCTCAAATCTTTCAGTTTTCTCAATTTGGGAGATAAATCTTGATCTTGAAATGTATACCTATTCTCTTTGAAGTAATCCAAATCAAAATGAGAATCTGACCATGTTTCTTTGTAGAGAAATTTTGTTTCATCAGTATCTATTATGAGAGAGAAACTCCTAAATTATGTAAACAGCAAGGCGTATTCATCCTTATCCACCTCCATCTAAATGTTACTTCTACAGGGCCAGGCCGACCTGCATGCTTTCCTCTTCCTGTGTGAGTCTCCAGCTGATTTAACGTCATTTTATCTCAACATCAAGTCCCATTCTTCATTCACGCCCCTTCAGCCTTTCTGCCTTAGTGGATCCGGGGGCGGGTTGGGGAATGGAGAAGGCTGCAGAATAAGGAGAAATGTCTCTGTTGGGTAGAGTAATATTTCCCCAGCCCAGCAGAGTTTCTGCTCCATTTTCCAGACTTTTCTCTGACCACATATAGCTCAAAGACATACTGCTCCTTGTTCACATGTACCAGGAGCAGCTGTGAGGTAAGCATTCTAGGGCACAACTACAACTTACACTATAGTAGAATTTTTGGGGTTTGGCTGTTAATTGCAATGTTTTCCTGCAAAAATTGCTCCCAGGTGGTTTTACCTCCTTTGCTATTTAGAAACCACTTTGACCACATCTCTTTGTTATTCCTGCCTGTGACCAGTAGCTTCTGATATTGGTCACATCAAATGCCAGTGGAGGCATGATTATGACTCTGAATTTTATTTCCCAGTTTAACATTTTTGACCTGCTTTGAGATGTTTTCTCTAACATATTTTTTGATATGCTATGAGTTGAACCTTAACTTCCAAGGATATAATCAAATTGTTGAACTACAAAGCAAATGAAATTGCTGCTTCCAGCATTGTTATGCTGTTGTTTAGAAAGTGTCCCATCATACGGAATGATCTGAAAGTTACTTATGTAAAAGAGAGGGGTCTTTCATTTTCCTTTACCATTAAGCTGAATGGGCCTCTATCTAAGTCAAATTTGGACTGCAGGAAAGACTCTTCTGGGCAATTAATCTACAGTTTGATCCTAATGGTCAAAATAATTTGACAGATGAGTTTATGGGTTGGGAAAAGGGAGAGGGCATTTATGGTGTTAACTGATTAACATATGGGTGGTCCATCTCTCTTCTAAATGGTCACACTGTGGCAACCATTTGTCTGAGGAACTGGTTTCACCCTCTCTTCCTTGCCTCGGCCAGCACCCCAGAGGGAACGCTGGCCCACAGTTGTGTGTAGTGCCCTGCCTCTGCTTCCCAGGATGCATCTTACTAAGTGTAGCCTCTGGCCGGAGTGGCAGCAGCAACTTGTTCTTTCTGAAATCTCAAGGAAAAAACCGTCCTGGGAGAGCCAAGCCTTGCAGAGAACACTGGGTGACTGAACACATGAAGCTTTACACAATCACGTGCGTTAACTCAGCCTTTCCCGTCATCTTCATTCACGGGTAACCACGGAACTGATTCAAATCCATTCACCCAAATGGCGGAATGCGTTCTGCACGCTCCATGTAAGAGGCTACCAGCAGCACAGGGTCAAAGGAGGAAGCCTTTCAATGTTTCTCCTAGTTTAAAGTTTATAGATTATCTGCCTGAACAATTTGCATTTTCCAGGAGGTTGTTAAACAGGTTGGGTTATTTCTCTGAGGTAGGATATAAATCAGATGTACTTAAGTTTTTCTTAGCACCAAGAGAATAATCCCTAAAGAAACCTCTTACTACATAAAGGGGAGCTAAGTGTTGGTTAAACATGGAGGATAAACCGAAGGAAAATCAAATATATTCGATATAGCATTTAAGTTATCTGTAATAATCTCATCAGAGATGTTTTAGTAATAAAACAAAGCACTCTTTCAAAAGTGCAGAACTAGAGTGTAGACTGATGACTACTGAATTTACAAACGTGAATAACATCTTCAGCAAGAGGGAGTTACAGAAACAAGCAAACTATAGATAACCCAACAAAGTTTTGAGAAGAGTAAATTCTGGCTTTAAAAAGAATTAAGTAACATGTATCTGTATGGCACATTATACTTCAGTACCTGGAAATGCTGAAGAATACATTACATTCTGCATGGACACAATAGGTTATTTACCACGAGCCTAAGATGCTTCTGGAATTTTGAACATCCCATATCTCTAAAGTCTTTTGCTTCACCTTAACCGCGGAGAAGCAGCTTACGAACGAGTGTCACCATCCCAGTCTTCTTCCTGTTGCCTTGATAGGTGGCAACTACCACACTCCAACTGCTGATGATGGCCTTTGTCTTGTAGAAATTCAAAGGCATTGTGCCACCTGCTAATAGCAGGCACTACGCCCATGCAGAGGGCGGGGACTCTCCTCCCCAAAGCCTGAGTCAAGGATGTGAAAACATCAAGAGGTGTTTTTAAGCCCATTACGTCCAAAGTTCACAGTCCTTGGAAATCAGGGTAACATATCTCCTTATACTGGCTTCTTTAATTAAACTACACAGAGGTTTACACAAAATTACATGTACTTCACTTGTTAATTCCAATTTCTAGGTGCCTTTGAATATAAAAGCTTATTTCTGTTTTTTTTTAGAAGTCTCAGCGCAAACGGAAACCTGCGACGTTCAGCAGGACTGGAAGCCTTCGTTCCTCAGTAATGAAGAATTCACCCAGCTGATGTTGGAGGTGAGACTGCACTTTCAGATTAGCTTAATGGGTTGCAAATCAAAGTGTAGCTGCTTGTTCCAGATAAGACCTGTCCCAAAGTAAACAACTGTTCTTGACCCTGGAAAGAGGTCTTGAAACAGAACCCCCTCTGAAGCTCTGCACACTGTTGCTTGTGTTTTGGCTACTGAGTTGGGCAGTGTAAGCAAGGATCCCCAAACGGAACAGGGTGTGTACGGTCACGGCACTGATGGCAGGGCGGGCCCACCCATCCTCACCCAACTAGAGGACACCGGGTGGGTGGGGGTGGCCAGGTTGGAGGTAGGTAGAGCAAGAGGAAGGAGAGAGGAAAGATTATATCTCTGCACCGTCTTTTGGCTCAGACAGTCTCCTTTTTAGAATGCAATAATTTTTTCCCTTAGTAGAACACATTTTGAAAACAAAAGTCTTCTTTTAAAGTCAAACTTGAGCTCCTATTACATCAACATGACAGGTGGGTGTCACAGCCATAGGTAACCCTCTGCCTCCCCACCCAGCACATACCCCTTCTGCACTGAGAGAGGTGCTCACGTTTCTTACCCTAGACAGTCAGGCGCCCACACCCACCTGCAGAAATCTGGCTGATCTGAGTGAATAGCCTTCCTCGATGTCAGATGTTTATATATGAGTGAAATCTCTCTGTACACATGAGCAGTTGGAGTGTAAGTCTGCAAAAATGTCTGGCTCAGAGCTCCGAATTCTAAACTGGGGCTAAGACTGGGAGACCATGGATGTGACCGTGGAGGGAGAGAAAGCCCCAGACGTGGCATGTCTGGGCCCTTGAGCGAGAAGACGAAAACTGGGACAGATGAGGTCAGCAAACGGAAGTTAGACCCTGGCTGTGTGTCAGTGGTTCCTGGCAGGGTTTTTGGAGAGTGGCTTCTTGGGCTAAATCTTTCTATATCTCGTCTTATGTGCCTATATAAGACTGATGTAAACTTTAATTTACATAAATTAACTATGCAGAAAACAGAAAGTACTGGAGTAAGAAAATGCCAGAATGAAGATGTCCAAATATTATGATATATAAACGCATTAATGAAAATTTGCATAAAATGAAAGGTACTTAAATCTACATGTGAGCTATATTTAAAGAAAATACAGAGCTTTCTCCAGAAGCAATGCATTTTAAGTATATTAAATTTAGAGCAGCTTGTGAAATAGAATGTTGAATTAATGCATCATTATACTACTTTGCATAAATCATTTTGTCTTTTAATTCTTAGGAAAAAGTGGTTAAAACGCATAACCCTATAGCACCCAGCCTCTTTTTAAGAGCCTTTTTAAGAGCACAACCTTTTTCTTTTTCCAGTGAGTTTCAAGATATCAAAAGTATTTGGGGAAACATGACTTTTACAAAATTAAAAATGGATAAATATCCGGGCTGAAAGGGAGGACTAAGATTCAGGACACTAGAATTTCTAGAGAAAGAAAATTTTAGATTCGTATGGCTATTCCTTCTGCACTTTCTCCTGCTCCCAAGATAAACTCCTTGAAGCCGATCTAAAGGAATCATGCTAGATGAGAGAACTGGACCTGAAATGAAGCCTGTACAGCAGGCGGGCCTCCTGGGTGAGCTGCAGCTTTGAGGAGGCTGGGAAACCCAGCAGCTACTCCTTTTGACTTCTCTCTGCTGTTTTAGGCTTCTATTCTAACCTGTTGCTCTCCAGTAGACGCAGACCCGGTGGTGAGTAGCGGCAGCCTCCCCTATCTTCTCCCGAGGGTCCGAGCCCCAGCAGTGGCCCCCACAGGATGACGTCATCATTCTCCACTGTGTAACTTCTTCATGCTGTGTGTCCCGTGCCAGCTGCACAGCCTTCTCCTTTTTCAGAGTCATTTCAGGGAACACGAGGAGTCCAGACGCCATATCTTAGCAACCAGGAGGTTCCCATTTTAAATGAGAACAGAACCCCTCAGGCCCCAGGGCACTGACCTGCTCGTGCCTTCTGGCTGTGAATCCTTCCTTCCTCCCTCTTCTCTCAAAAAGGCCCCAAACCGGACTCCTGGAGGGCTCACGCAGCTGTGGAGTTTGAAAGAACAAAAATGGCTTGGTTGCAGACCAGTCACACTGGTGAAGTGTAAGCTGGCCAAGATCATAGCCACAAGCATTTGAACAGGTAGACTCAAAAGGAGGAAAGCTTTTGTTGACCGATGACTAGGGAGTTTGTGGTGTTTCTGGAACTTTATTCAGAAAACTACAGCGATCTTTTCTCTTAGCCCAGTGGGCGTCCCAGAGAATGCAGAAAGATTCCATCAGAATCGGGAAAGGGGTGGCTTCATTTCCCCCTGGTGTGTGGCAGGTATAAAATTTGGACCATTATGGCACCTTTGGCGTCTCTGAAGCTCCTGTCAAAGGCACCTTTGCCTTGAGAGGGGCACATCACTTTGCAGTCACATTCTGTTGAGTCTCTCTCGAATGCTGCTGACGGGACTTCTAAAACCGGAGCAAGTGTTCTCAAAGCAGTGACTCAGCGCAGTTCTTGTGCGTTTGATGGAAAATGCCAATGAGCTGATGAAAGTTATCTTCCATCTATAAATACCTTTAGCTTTTTAACACCCACTTGCTTTACGAATTCAAGAGGGGCATGGGCTCACGGTGCAAGGAGATAATTTGTATTGCTCCTACTTGTGCCAGTATTTTAGTCTGCTTTTTCCAAAAAGCTTCGGCTGACATCATCAGCAGTGCCCCCACTTCTTAAAGAAATTCACCTCCAGGAGCGCTGCAGATACAATTTTAAAAACAACTTAGAAAAATACTTGAGGGAAAAAGAAATAAAAGTTACTAGGATGTACCTCTGGTTCACCGTAAGGTCTAAACCAGGGTTTCTCAACCTCGGCAGTATGAACATTTTGCACCTAATAATTCTTTGATGTGGGGGCGTCCTGTGCATTGTAGGATGTTTCACAGCATCCTTGGCCGGTACCCACTAGATGCCAGCAGCTCTCACACCAAGTAGTGACGACCAAAAATGTTTCCAGACATTGCCAGATGTCCCCTGGGGGCCAAAATTGCCCAGCATTGAAAACCACTGATGTAATTGAAAAGGATGAGATCTGCTTAGAAATACACTTCAATATACTTTTCAGTCTTAAATCCTGCAATATGTAAGTGTAAAATAATAAATGACCCTAGCGTTAATTTTCCTGGGGAAAAGAACTCGCTCCCATTTTGGCACATTGTAACGGTACTCTTCACACAGTTAGTGGACAATTTCCAGTCTCTGCTGCCACGGTGCACTTAGCCACACCCTCCTAACTTGATGGCATTACAGCCCTTTCGGCTGTGCAGAGCCTCAGCAACATCCTGGGAGAATCTAGCTGAGCATACAAAATGTTTCCAGAACTTTCTAAGCACATTTTTCAGTTTGGGGTTTTTTTTCCCCAAAGTGGCAAAATTCCCATATTTGGGGAAGACAGTCTTTCAAAGACACAGCCTGTAAAGCAACAGTGATAGATTACAGTGACAGCCCACCTGAGTGTATTACTCCCTCAAAGATGCGTTTTCTGGTGAGGTGGGCTCGGTGCACCCAAATAGACAGTTCCCAGCACCACCCCATTCTCTGCTGCCTTACGTAGTCTGAATTCTAGAGATCAATGTTCAGATGTGTCTTATGAAAGCATTAGGAGCATCCACTAAGGAATCTAAAAACAAAACTGCAGAAGTGTCTGTGAAAAAACGTTGACTGTCTAAACCTTCTCTTTTCTCTCACAAGCCCCCAGAGCAGGGCATACAGTAGGCACTCAGTAAAATCTTTTAAACGAAAGCATTTTTCAGACATTCTGAAATGCCTTGTGGATCCAGTTGAGTTACACGGTGCTTCCGCCTCAGCCCTTACTTGTTACTTCTGTAGAATAATGTGAATGTTCTTTACAAACATTTCCTTCAGGAGGTATTTCTTTTGTGGCAGTGAATGTAAGCAGAGGTCTACCCTGACCAACAGGCACACTTTCTGTTTTTAATGCATCTCTTAGGCCTGATACTTTCGGTAAATGTTTACCCTGAAGTCGAAGTGATCCTGAGGGTAGGAGATGGGGACCATAAGATATCCCTGACATCTTTTCATGGTAATTGTGATATTTCTGATCCAGCTCAATAGTTAGCTTATCATTAAAACTACTTGGGTAATTTCCATGGCTGAATTTTGTTTCATGATACCAATAGTCAGATTTTTCACTGAGCCTCAAAGAGCTTTTGTGAGCACTTTGTGTGGGCTAGACAAATTCTGTGTAGGAAACCATCCTGTGTGCAGGGCAGAAAAGTGCTGCGGAGTTATTCATGGAAATATTCTAAGGTTACTAGACGATGTCAGTGTCATAATAGGGGGTCCTTTGCTTTGCTGACATCCTCCTCCATAAAAGCTTGACGAAGGTGCCTTCAACTGTGGCGTTTTCCGCAGGCATTAGATGGTTTCATCATCGCGGTGACACCGGACGGCAGCATCCTCTACGTTTCTGACAGTATCACGCCTCTCCTCGGGCATTTGCCGGTGAGTTTCTGCTCTGACGGCCTTTGCCAGTGCACGTTATCACCTCTCCTGGAAACCCATTCAGATCTCAGCTCGGGGGTGGTGCAGGGATGTGGGGGTCTGCGTGTGAGGAGGGTGAAGAACCGCCCTCGACCAGGCCGAGGAGGCCAAGGTCCCGGGGGCCTTCCAGGGGAAGGGCGGGTGCCGGCATGTGTTGCCCTGGAACAAGCAGGACGCCGTGGTCTCCTCAAGGCCAGACCTGGAGCGGGCGCTCTGACCCTTCTGTGCCCCAGAAATTGCGCAGGAGCAGTGGACCCATGAGAGAGTCGCAGCACAGTTAGCAGAGCTCAGGGTCTTTACAGAGGCTGATAGACGTCCTGCAAAGGGAAAAGCTGACGTCCTGGGTCCCCTGAGAGCTGGTCGAGGACTGTGCCGCCGATGGTTGGAGATGGGCCGTGGTTTGGGGATCACTAGGGACATGACTGAGGTTGCAAGTAGGTTGTGATATTTACTGGGGGTAGCAGTTCAGCAACGGGACGATCCCAGGGAGTTGAAATACTCTGAGAAGACGTTATTGGACCAGGTAGGCCTCGGGGAATAAGGAGGATTGTGCAGGCAGAGAGGAGAGGGCCAGCTCCGAATTCCGGGGGGAGCCAGGCAGAGGCGCAGAGGTGGGGTGGGCATGACATGGTCAGAGCCCCTCCTAGGTGTTCCTCCCTCCCTCCTTCCCCCCTCTCTGCAGGGGCCTTGCTGGCTCTGTGTAACCCTCCCCCCCATTTAGGATGATCTGATTCACAGGGCAGTTCCTGACTGGTGGAGGGTCCACGTTTGATGGCCCCTCATAGGCATCCGGCCAGCCTTCCATTTCCCGCCACGCCGTGATTTATCCCCACAGACCCTGACGTTGAGTGACAGCTATAACAGGAGCAGCCTGTGGGTCTGATTGGGATAAAACATCTTCTCTTCTCTCTCCTCCCTACAAGCCCCACCAAACCGCCTAACCCCTACCACTCCCCACCCCCGGCATATCATCGGTGGATGGGAGGCAGGGTATGTGATGAGGATGGCAACAGGTTGTCCTGGGTTCCTGTAGGTAGGAAATCCTGGGCCAGGAAGATGCTGGAGGACATGGTTGCCTCTACTTAGCCACTGCTGGCGGGGAGCAGCGTGACCTTGTTCTGTAGGCAGCTCACCTCATCTCGTTGGGGTGATGATTCCAGCTTTGCTAATGAGCCCAGGATTCCACAGAAGCCACTCCCCGTTCCATCATTCCTGCAGATGGTGCCGTGTGGAGATCGAAGCCTCCGTCCACATTTTTCCTTTGCCAGTCACTGCGTGTTGTAGCCCAGAAAGGGATTTTTTACTCTGCTAGGCAGAGGCCTTTGCTTTACGCCATGATCCGTCTAACCTTTGAGTTTCAGCCATTCCCTGCACCGTTGTCAGGGTGCGTTAGGCCAGGGGTTCTTGCTCCTCTTGAGAGCTCTCAGAAGAGGCTCATTCTCATTTAGCACTAAGGAGTCGAGGGTGCGGTGTCAGCTTGCGTTTTGTCTCAGGCTGGGAGAATAGTGATGAGGCCGTGTGGGGAATACAGAAGGGACCCCCATCAAGCCAGCCGCTTTCTCTGGGCTGCTCTGAGGCTGGCTGAGGAAAGCAGAGATGGGCTGGTTTTTTGGAGGGGTTATGTTTTGTATTGAATGGACAGGATTGGGTGGTGAGAGGCACTGATTAAAGGCAATGAAACGTAGCCTCTTAATGACCTGGGAACGAGATGCAGGAGCCTGTTTGGTAAACAGGATTTGCACTGTTCTGCTTTATGCTCTTGTAATTATCTGATGACCCAGTTGCCAAACATGGCAGAGAGGACTTAGAAAGTAAGTGAGGAATTCTTCTGATTTGAAATTATAGAGCAATTTAGGATCACCTTTATGAATTATTTTCTAACTCTGGAAGGACCAGAAATGACCCTGACTCTAATTTATCAGTACTCGACCCGAATGAATGCATATTAAGTGCCTATATATAGATCCACACCCAGAAACGCACCGTGTTTCCCTTAAGTTCCCCAGTGGAGGTGAGCCCGGGATGGACAGTCCCCAAATTTAACTTCTATTTCCATCTAACTGACATTATCCAGTTTTTACCAGGATCGTCACCTTCTTCCCCCGTTTTGCTTAGCTTTCACTTGTATCCTTTGCCCGTGGGTGGACAAGGGTGATTAAGGATGCGAACTTCCCTGGTGTCAATCAGCATACAGCTGGTTTTGCGGAGGAGCTGGTCTGGGAGTCATACCTCCATTACCTCCACTTTATGGAGGAGGAAACCTAAGGTGGCCCAGCCAGCGAGGGGCAGAGAACAGCCTAAACCAGGCCCTGCTGACTGCAGAGCTCAAACTTGTCACCACTCTGCTCTGGTGTCTTTCTGATGCCAAGGATTTGGGTTGCCACTTAGGAATTCTGCTTTCAGTTTAGTTCACTTCAATCTAGACTTATTTATGACTCAGTGTGAGCCCAGGACCTGTTCACAGGTGATGCAATGATTCAGACAGACCCTGTGAGATGTCTTTCCTTAAAGGTTTGCAATTTTGTTGAGAGATTTCACCTGTTAACAGTTAGAGCCTAAGAGAAAAATAGCTCACATTTATTGAGCACTTACTATGTACAGGCGCCGTTAGGAGCCCCTTACATGCGTTAATGTGTGTGAAGTACTTAGAAGAGGGCCTGGCACAGATCCAGGGCTCTATCACACTCACTTTCCTTATCCTTATTGATCGTGACAATGACCCTATGAAGTAGGTTGTTACCCCTGTTCACAGATGAGGAAACTGAGGCACAGAGAGGTTAAGGTCCCGCAGCCAGCAAGTGGTGGGGCTGCGATTTGAACTCAGAACCTGGTGCTTAACCCTTACTCAGAATTCTCTGTAAAGACAGAGTAATGTTGAATGTTCTCAGGGTTGGGTGGGTGGTCAGGAAGGGAGAGAATGAGGAACTGAAAGGCAGTGGTCAGTCTTCGTGGAAGAGGTGGCCATTGAGGGGCTGCATGGCCAGCAGGGACACAGCGTGGGCAGGGGACAGGAGGCCATGGGCCCCGGCAGCAGTGCCTCCATTGGTGTCATCGGCTGGCATGCTGGGGGCTGGGTCTCACTGTGTGGCCGGGATTGGAGGACCTCGGTGGAGAGGAGAGGGGAAGCGCAGCAAGAATTCCTTTCTTCTTTTGAGACTGTCAGCCGTCCAAGTCTCTCTCTGCTTCCTTCCTACTCCGAGAAACTCAGACGTGGCAAAAGTTTGCATGATAGATTTCTGTACGGCAACTTCCTGCTGAAACATCCTAGAACTTTCTTTTCCAGTTTGACAGAGAAAAGAGAGAAAAACACAGGTCAAAGCAGAAAATGCTTTTAAGATAAAGTCAAAACTTTCCCATGGTGGGCACATCAGCACATTTCGGCGTCTAGCGTGAACCCGGGCAGTAAAGGAGAAACACGGGCACAGGGGATGAGCACGCTGGTGGAAGACCAGGCTAAAGGGGGCTTCTGGGACGAAAACCTTTCAGGAAAAGTCCACGTGCCGTGAACAGAACTGGGAAAGAGTATGGCTGAGGCCAAACCAGATGAGACCCAAAGTGGGCACTGTGCTTCCTGTTTGGACTTTTGTTTGAGTTTTTGAAAATTTAACTTCCCGGATGGCTTTTCTGATTTGTTAATGAATTTGATGTTCGCCTGATGGGCTGGACTTTGCTAAGCCCTTAAGGCAGAAGTCCTGTCCTCAGCCCTGAGTGTGATACCCATGTGCCTAAATGTTCATGGAGCAAAGGACTGCGTTCATAAATGGGGCTGCTGCATCGGAAGCAATTGCAAACAGCTTGACAAGAGTGGGAAGTGCCTCGGACATGAGAAATAAAGTCATGGATAACACAACTTCCCCCAAAGAAAATAACCTAGGCACAAGTGGTTATGAAGTTGGAGAAATCCACATGCCAAAAAGGACGTCCATATAACGCTGGTTCTCCAAGTGGAAGCTCCAGCAAGAAGTGCAAGGTCAAGGGGGCACATGGGGCCAAGTTGCCATGGGTCACAGCAGGGAGAAGAGGTCACAGAAAAGAAAAGACTTACATCACCACGAAATGCAGCAGCAAGGCCAAGGCCCTGAAACGCTTTCCAGAAAACATCCCTCTGCCCTTCCTTCCCCGCCCTGCCCTCACCTGCTGGAGGAACCCACCTCATCCATCTTATCAGAGGCAGCTCTGTCTGGGCAGAGCTGGGGGGGCGCTCTGCCTAGGAGGGGCCCCGATAGATGTGGCTGCAGATCAGAGCTGAGAGGTTAACTCACAGGTTAAGAGTCCAGGCCGCAGTTAGACTATTTTTCATTTTTATATAGCACACAGACAGAAGTATGTATAAAACATATGTTCCATTTTTAAATTAATGATAAAGCGAGCACGGACATACATGTAGCTATCCCTGAGGTTAAAAACAGAACACGGCCAGGACCGTAGCAGCTCCTGTCTGCTCCTTTCTCATCACACCCCACCTTCTTCCTAGAGAGGACAGTTTCCCTGACTTTGAAGATCGTTGTTTCCTTGTTTTTCTTTGTAGTTTTATCAACTTTTAATTCGTCACTAAACACTATAATTTAGTACTGCCTTTTGTTGAACTTTATGTAAGTAGAGTCATAGAAAAATGTACTCTTTGTGATTTCTCCTTTGCTCAACACTGTCTGTGAGATTCGTCCATCTCACACTGTGAGTTGTAGCTGTTGTCAGTTCTTTCTCATTGCTGCATAGTACTCCACTGCAAGAATGAGCTGCAATTACCGGTCCATTCTAGCTTGGAACTCTTAGTAAGTGCTTCTGCGAGCATGCTATACGTATTTCCTGAGGAACATTTGCAAGCGTCCCTTAGAGAACTGACCGTGTGTAGAATGCTGGGTTGTAGGGTAGGTACCCCTTCACCCTTACTAGATAACACCAGATTGTTTCCCTCATGCTTGCACGCATTCACCCCGTCCCAGCAGGGTGCAGAGTTCCAG